GGGATTCTAAAAATGCCAGAGTGCTGCTGCGCTGTAGCCAAATCCCGTGTCAGCTTTGGTTTGGTTTGGTTTGGTTTTTTGTTTGTTTGTTTGTAATGAACATGGTGTTGGTCAGACATCGCTTTTAAGTTTCTGTAAATGAAACATTCCATTTTTCAGAAATAATAAAATTGGTTTATGGCTACTGGTTCTTTTTGTTTGTGGAGTCTTTGGTGACCTCATGAGAGGTTTAAAAATCATTAAAGAGACAATCTGCTTTTAGCAATGTGAGATTTGAAGAGAACTGATAAATCTGGGGCCTGGCAGACCCTGCCTGTCCTTAATTGTTTCCTTTCTGCCATTAAGTTTAAATATTCTTTCTACATTTCCATTTTAGTTTCCTGTCATTACAGGAGTAGAAAGAGGAGGAGGAAGGAAAGCAGGGAGAAAGGGGGAAGGAGAGAGAGGATGAAGAAGAAGGAAGGAGGCCTGAAAAGTAGGATTGAGTTCAGTCTAGGGCTCAGTGCTCACCTTGTTCACCTCCCTCTGACGCTCATACCCTGCTGTTCATTGCTTTGCATCTTCAGCATAAAAACCTAAAAGCCAAACATGAGAATGCTTGAGAATTCAATGAGAATTTTTTCCCATCCACCTCTGGCTTTCCTGTGTCCCTGTGTTTTAATTCTTCCCTTTAAAACTTCTTATTCATACACATACTGAAAAATAATATTAATTTATATAATTAACTGAGGGTTTTTCCAAATAACCCTGTTCATCTGTGTAATACACAGAAATTTGAGAAGGTAAGGAATTCTGAGTACAGATACATATAGCTCTTGAACATACAAATATAACTTTTATATATATATATATATATGTAAAAATTAAGCATGCAGACCTTGAAATTGTAAGAAAATCGCTTCTATGAGGAGGAAATCGAGGTTTCTGTGTTTATTTTTTCCTCTCTCTAAGAAACTGAAGTCTGAGATTTTGGTTCTATCTCAGTCGCTGCTGTCGCCGCCTGGTGGTGACGGGGAGGAACTGCAGCGTCCTGAGGGCTCGCTCGCTGCGCCGCCTGCTGGGTAAAGGTGGAACTGCAGGGCAGGAACGGGGGTGACAGCGGGGACTCGCTGGTGGCACTGGGGGAGTAACTTTGGGGACTCACGGGTGTCCCCTGGACAGTGACAGTGAGCATTCTCTGGTGGCCCCAGCACNTACTTTGGCACAACACAGCCACAGCAAATAAGATTAGAATTGTTTTTTCTTTCTCTGAGGTTCAGAGAATATGAATCTCAGAAATATTCTTGGGAAGAATTGTGCCTTGCTTTTCTCTGTGAAGAGAAATGTGGCTGTAAGGGACATAGAGGCTGCATAAAGATTATTGCCAAGTCCTAATGCAGTCTGCCATGATGCTGATGGAGATACAGCAGCTCCTCTCAAGGTCTATGGAAGTTGCTTTATGAACCCCTGAGATTTAGCTGTTTCCTTTTGCTTTAAAACTTTCCCTATTTTCATCTTTGCAGCCTGGCTAATGCAGGTTTTTAGCACCACAGAATGGAAATACTTTCTGTGTGGTGCCATTGAGATTTCTGTTTGCTCTCAAGGGATCTCTGGTGAAAACTGTGCTGTTTGTTTTTGCTTGTAACTCATTTCTGACACTGGCAATTCACTCAGTGTTCTCCCTTGGTGTCACTGAGTGCCTGGCCATCCTCAGTGCTGCCTTTTTTTACCCATATTACAGTGATAGGTGTTAGTTTGATCTCTTTTTATACTATGGAATAAGAACTCTTTTGAGTTATCTTGCCACTGAACATGAGCATCCAGATTTACAGCCCAATGAAAGTTAACTTTTCATGTGTTATTTCATGCAGACTCTTGAATTATAATTACAGTGCTGATTCAACTGAAACTTTTCATTTTTGTTCCAGGAGAGACTGTGCAAGGGGAATTCCAGATCGAGATGGGCAGGTATGTTACAACCAAATTACTGCTTCAGTTAAAAACCAAAAGAAGGTGAAAGCTAAAAACCCCAAAGCAGAAAGGACACAGTGTGCACACAGCACAAACACAAATGTTTCAGCTGAGATACTTGAACAGAACTAATTTTGTGTGCTAATGAGCATAAAATAAATTATTAGGTTACCTGCTTGCTGGGGTGGTAACCTCAAATAGAGGCAAGGGGAAACCTGTGAGTGATGGGAGCATCTTTTCAGGGTGGTATGTGGCAGTAAAAGCTTTTTGATTGACCATCTTAGGGGTTAAGAGAGAGCTGCTGTACTCACTTAGCTGGCAATGGATGCCTTCTCTCACATTTATCTAAATGAAACAAGGCTGTAAAAGGACAGGTGTGAAAATCAATGCCACAATGGGATTCAAACCCTTTCATTTCTGAAGAGAGGTAGGAAGTGAGCAGATATTCAATATGAAAATTTAAAACCTGAAGCCAAGAACATAAACCTTAAAAAACCTTAGCAAACAAAAAAGATCTCTCCCACCAGTGAAAAATAAACATCTGGAATGAGCCATGCCCTACAGCAGAACCTTGAAAAAATGGGACAGCTATAAATTTTTTACCAAAAAGCCAAATTTTTGCAATCCTAGAATGTTGGGAAGGATGAAAGTTTGACAAGAAAATCTCACAGATATGTGTACTTAGCAGAAAGATTTTTAAATGTAGAGTCTGATGAAGGAATAGAGGCAATAGGAAGCAAGTTTTGATATAGAAGAAAAGAATTGCTGAGCCACTCTTGCTGGATTACCAAAGAGGCAAAGGGTGTGTTAGTTAGGAGTTTTTATGGCTTAGAGCAAAGGATAAACCCACCTCAAAGATGTTTTTACCAAGCAGAAAGATAGCACAGGCAAACAAGTCAGCAAAGTTGCAAGCAGAAAAAAAGTCTCAGACTTATCCACTGCAAGAAAACTGAAAA